CTTGTATTTTTCAACAAACAGTCAGAGCAAAGTACATGTTCTCCTTATTGACCTGTGAAGATACTTGTGAACCTGCAATACAACAAATAAAAATAAGTGGTATATCACCATTAGTACAAGCTATTTCTAACATTGTTACAAAGAAACTTAAACAGATATTGTTCACTATGAAATGCAATTTTTGTCTTGCACATCTAACATGGACCTTCATCAAATCAAACACATCATGGAAAAGCACAGACAAAAATGTAATTATGACAACATGGAACCTTTTCCAAAAAAGAAAAGACTGAAACAGAGAAGTTCTTAAAAAAAAAATCCAATACAAAGTTAGACTGCAGCATGAGAGTGAGACAATCCCAACTATTGATATCTGCATTAAAGAATTCAAAGAGAAATTCAGTTTAAAACTTCTTAAGTACTAAATACTCCAATCAAAACTATTTTAGCATTCAGACTTCATTTGATGAGTATATTTGTAACACATGTAACTCCAAAGTTAAACAAGGTAAAGTTCCTTGTCAAGCTGTGATAAACAACATGTATGTTGATGATACACCAGTAGAGCTTGCCTCTCTTGAAAAACTAGAGCAGATACTAATAGCTTAGAGAATAGCATTTGAAAAGATTATTGTTATGCCCAAAGGTCAACAGAGGAAAGTAAAAGGTGCAATTTGTAATGTACCAGTTGAATATGATCAGACAAGTAGTCTTTTGCCATGCCCTCCTGAGAGATCTGGTATAATCCTGTTAAAACTCAAAAGAAAGTTACAATTCAGAGGTCATGTATACTTTCAAGCAGTAAGGCCTCACTTTGTCTTACAAGCCTTGCAATGGCTTAAGGCAAATAATATATTGTATAAAGACATACAAATTGATGTAAATAATATTGTTACAAATCTGACTGTACCACATGAGACAGATAATTCTATAACAGTAAACGAAGCAACAGGTTCTAAAAACTATTCAGTTACAGATGATTGTGTAGAAGACACTGAAGATTCAATACCAGTAAACCAGGAAAGGGATAATGGAAATCAAATTAATGACTTAAATGACTCAAACGATAATAATGAAGAAATTGAAGACCCTTTAAATGAGTATAGAATGCCAATCAATCAAACAAGCATAGAATGCCAATCAATCAAACATGCTTGCAATCCATTATCCCTAACTATCCTGTGATGGTAGATAATAATAATGAACAGTCATCAGGAAAGGAAATTTATAGCATTGCACCAGGAGAGAACGAACACCCTGTTTCATTCATGACTGATAAACAATGTGAGGAACTAGCTTTCCCAGTGTTGTTTCCTAAGGGAAGATATGGGTACACAGCTGAACGTGAAATTATGTTATCACCAGTAAAGTACTTTTATGCATGACTCCTACATTATAGTGGAAAATTTGCTAGAAACCCAGGGTATCTTTTCTTTGCACAATTCATAATTGAGCAGAAAAAAGTTTCGGACAGTATCAATATTGCATTAAAAAAGGTTCATGGTTTCATCACTGCTGCTCAATTAAGATCCAATCCACAAGGCTTTCAAAATCTAATTTTTCAAGACCAAGCTTATTTTTGAGACAAATTCCAGGTACTCCATCTTACTGGCAAAAATTTTTGTATAAGGTAGTTGCTATGGTGAAACAACTTGGTATTCCAACATGGTTTATGATGCTATCATGTGTTGATCTTAGATGGCCAGAACTATTCAAATCATTGCTAAAATGCAAGGGAGAAAGAGGACAAATGAGGAACTTGATGCATTGAAAGTTACAATGAAAGGTGCCAAATGCTGAATACAAATCCTGTTATAGTTGCTAAGCACTTTCAATATAGAGTGGAGACATTTTTCAATGAAGTGTTACTTAGCAAAGCAAATCCTATTGGCAAAATAGTTTATTATGCATTATGTATAGAATTTCAGATGAGAGGTTCTCCTCATTTACATGCATTAATCTGGACTTCAGACTGTCCTTACTTGACTGATGACAACAAGCAGGCCTATATAGACTACATAGATCAACATGTACAAGCCTACCTGCCAAGTGAGGAAGATGATCCTGAATTACACAATTTGGTGAAAACATATCAAAAGCATACCCATTACAGATCCTGTAGAAAATATGAAAACATTCAGTGTAGATTCAATTTTGGTCAGTTTTTCACAAATACAACCATAGTAGCAGAACCACTATCTGATGACCTGGATGAAGCAATTAAATCTGACTTGCAAGACAAGCACAAGGAAACTCTGTCTTTAGTTAAACAACAAATAAATGCTGTTTTAAATCCCAGCAAGCCTAACTATGATTCCACATTAACTGAAGACGACATTTTTAATTTAGCAGGCATCAATAAGGAAGCATATTACTCTGCTCTTTCTATTTCACCTGATTCTAACTATGAACTACATCTTAAATGACCAGAAGACAGCTGTTTTATAAACAACTACTTTATTGCTGGCATAAAAGGATCTGCTGTAAATGTTGATCTGCAACCTGTATTTAATCATTACAAGTGTATAACATATATATGTTTTTACTTTACCAAGGATGAAACTGAATGTTCACAGGTAATCATAAATGCTGTAAAAGAAGCAAAAGCTGCAAACATAAGCTGAGATGGACTGAGAAAAATTGGGGCTGCCTTTCTCTTGCTGTATGCCTGAATTATG